AAAAAAAGGAAAGTTTCTTCAACATCGGTACTATAGAGAGTTTGGAAAATTGCACTGTTAAGCTCGTAGTATTGTTTTTCCAGATCACCATATTTGAGGCATGTAATCCACATATCTACATTTCATATATATTCATATATTTGTTGTGACAGGTAAAAATGTAAACAATACCGCCTGATTTGAAAAGTAAACAATGCATCAATCTTTTGAAGGGGGTAAGCTAAATCGCTCACTTTTTACAAAATTTTCTTTGAAAAAAAAGTAGAGGCCAACAAAGATATGTGAGGTTCTTCTGTAAGTTTTACAGTTGTATAGTTGGTTCTACAAGATTATACTATCTAGCGAGGGCAATTCCACTACTTGCTCCTAGAATAAACCTTCTAGTTTGGATGCTAAATATCTTGGGGAGTCCACCAAGAAGAAAAGTTTGACCCCAAGAAAAACTACTTAAGTTACACCTGCTTCTCGATATTTCACGTCTTTCAAGCTTTGTCAACAGCAACCTGTTTAGAGGTAAGTTTAGTTTCTAGAATAAACCTTCTGGTTTGGATGCCAAATATCTTGAGAAGTCTACCGTTTAGCAAAGCTTGACTTCAAGAAAAACTACCCAAGTTACACCCTTTCTTGGTATTTCACGTCTTTAGGTTTTGTTAACAACTGCTTACTTAAAGACAGGACCAAAATAGTGTATATCTTGAGACTTTCTATATCATTTTTCTGTAGTTCAGTTTTTTGTTGCATTGTTCAGAGGATCATCAAAAAAAGTTGGATCACATATTGTTATATTTCTTATTTATTATATTATAGCATAAGCTTTTCTGATATAAAAATAGTAAACAATACTAATCTTTTAGAAAAAGTATATCAAATTCTTTACTTTTTGTTAAAATTTTGAAAGCCAAAAAGATAGTAAAGATGTTTATAAAAATTTGCAAGTTTTCAAATTTAAAAAATATTTTTTTAATCTATTTGTTTCAGCTTTAAGTTTTTTTTTCTTCTAAATATAGATTTTATTTACTATAGTATTATTAGAATATCTTTCTAATTTGAATATTAAATATATTAATTAATGATTCTCCAGTGAACTGATTAATTATTATAGTGTAATGCAACATGGTTCTATATGTAAATCATATAGATAGAAATGTAGAGATTTTTTAAAGAAATATAGTATTTGCACAAGGAAAACTTTTTTTCTTACTAAGTAAATTATCTTTGGGCTTCTAATAAAAGTTGTAGAGCTTATCAAGACGCATCTAATGGTAGTAAGAACATTAAAATTGGCTTGGTAGTTATTGAGAAATTTTTAAAAAAAAACATTTCACCAAAATATAAAATTTCTTTAAAAAAAATTAATTTTTTTAAAGAAGATTTTATATAGTTGCTAAAACATTTTTTAAAGATTTCTCAAGAACCACCAAGCCAATTTTAATGTTTTTACTACTATTAAATGCATCTTAATGAGCTCTACAACTTTTGTTAGAAGTCCAAAAATAATTTACTTAGTAAGAAAAAAAGTTTTCTTTGCATAAACGCTATATTTCTATCTTAAGAGATTTATATATAGAACCGCGTTGTATTACACTAAGATAATTAATCAGTTCACTAGAGAATCATCAATTAAGAGATTTTACTTCAAAAAAAAAAGTTTAACTCTTTTAAAAACTATCTATAACTGCCTGCTTTTTAAGAGTAGTATAAATATAGATTATTTTCTATATAAATATATTAGCTAAAAAAAATTATATAAAAATTAAAAAATAAATATATGCATCGTCTACTGCGATGTATTTATACATCGCATCTATATATATAAATTATAATTTGTCTTATAACAACTAAAGTAACCAGGATTTTTTTTGTTTGGTTAGAGTTAGGTAGAGTTAGGGTACAATATAGGAGAAATTTATAGTAAAATTTTGCAAGAAATTTTTTTTGTTAATGCGCGAAAGATAGTTTCATATATGAAATTTTGAGTTATAAGTAATTTTTGCCAAAACAAACATTTGTTTTGAATCTTTCTGATCGTGCTATGTTATACCTGATCTTGAAATTTGATTGGTCAATTATCTAAAATGCGATATATAAGCACATCGCAGGTTGCAATGCCTAATTAAGTCCAAAATTAAATACATATTACATATAAAGTTTTTAAAAATATTTTTTTCTATAAAAGTTTTTATAGTATATATATTAAATCTATCAAATTATTATAATAAAATTGAATCTTTGTTATATTTAAAAAAAAATATTTATATATATTATTAATTCTTCTTAAATTAATCAAAATTTGTCTAAATTATATAATATAAATAACATATAATCATCATCTGATGTTATTGTAAAAAATTAATAATATAATACTATTGAAATATAGATTATTTTACTCTATATTTAATATATTACACTTGTAGTTTTCATTGATAATACTTCATAACTGGGGTTAGAAATTTATTAAAACTTTAAACTTCAACTTGTATTAAATAAAATTTAGTTTAAATAATTATTAAAAAAAGTTGTATTATTGCTCTGATTAATTTTTGATTTTTTTTTTTTTTTATAAAAATGAACATGTCCTGCTTATGCTTTATTGGTTATTAATTAAACTAAAAATTACAAACAAACTCCTAGCAACTAATCTCTACCAAAGCACATAGCTTGCCAAGCCAAATGGTCTAACGCAATAGTTGGCCAGTGTTTTTTGGCCTCCCTTTGGGTTCCTAGTGTGCAAAAACTTTTTTCTCACAGTTTATCAGCTGGGGTTTATACTAAAACCCATATCTATATTACCTTTTCTTTCAAAAACAAGAAACACTAACACAAATACAAAGGGCAAATAAAACTAAAAGGGTTATACCTCGACACCTAAGATCCGATTCACCTATAACAACAAATAAAACCAAATAAAACAAATAAAAAAACAAAACAAAGAAAAAAAAGAAAACAAAAATAACACTATTAAGCCTGTGCGAGACTATAAAAATTATATAGTACTATTAAATAACTAGTTTAAACTCTATACTAGTATTTATGTCTATATTTAGAATATAAAAACATTATTAAAACCATCTATTCTTAAGTAGAGATCCAAGTTCGAAATTTCTAAAGCATACTTCAAGAAAACTTCTGCAATATATTTACAGTTCTTTAATAATCCTGGGCAAAGTTAATGACTTATTGCTTGTCCTAAAGGTATAGCCAATAGTCTCAGTATAATACCATAATCTCTTGAGGAGTAATTGATCATATATTTTTTTCAGCAGTGATTGTTATTGTTGATCCTTTGATAAGGGTATACCGTATTTCCCACTTTTTAGTAAAATTTTGAGAAGTACAAAGAGTGGGATATTGAAAAGAGTTTAAGTTAGCAGATAGCCTTAAATTTCGATAGAGAGTGTGTTGAAAACTTGCTTGTTGTTCTCCTAGACCAACTATACTTTTACTTCGTTAGCAGAAGCCAAGCTTTTATTAAAATTTTTTGTACAAGAGCACTATCTTCTGCCAGTTATCTTGTACAAGAATGCTTTTAACTTGTTTGCTGAATATACAAAGGAGTCTGGCCAGACGCAAAAAGGTCTTGATCTTTATAAAAACTATTACTTGATAGTCGTCTCTTTCTCTTTTCTCCAACAAGTTTCTGTTTTTGTTAGTCATAAGTTTGGTACAAGTGATCATTAGAGAGAGTTGTGAATGACTGTTTTTTATTAATTCTTAATTTTGATTAGCTCTTGTATATTTTTTGTTATATTTTTTTAGAAAATTTTTATAAATTTAATTTATTATTAAAAATCTACAAGTAAATATATAAATAAATAATAATAAATCTCTAATTTAAATAATTTACAATAATCTACTTGAGTTAACTCTTGTTAAAAAAGTAGATAAAACTCAAAATCTAATAATTAGATTTGTATAAATTAAAATATAAGAAAATAATTTTAAATTTTGTTATATAAAGCTACACAAACTTATATTTTTAGTTTTCATATTACCAACTAACCTTTTATGATCTGCTAATTCAAATTTTAATTTTTTTTTAAGAAAAATTTTTTAATAAAAAAAATTTTATTTATTTTACAATACTATTAGTATATATTATGATTATAATCCAATACTATTTTTATTATAATAAAATAGTATTAAATTATAATAATATATACTAGCAGAATGATCTGATATTGTAAAATATATTGCATACTAGATGAAAGATCAGTTATATAATATCAATAGTTTCTTTTGTTTTTGGGTCAGATAGAAAAAAAACATTAGTATATACACTTTGCAAGAATACTATGTTGAAAGATTTAAATCTTATCATAATAACCTCAGATCATTTAGAGAAAAAGTATTAGCAAATACAATTTGCAAGAATACTATACTGATTTTTTTGAATATTGAATGTAATAATCTTGGATTAGATTGAGAAAAAGCATTAGCAAATACACTTTGCAAGATACCATATTAAAAGATTTAAATCTTTACAGTAATAACCTCAGATCATTTGAAGAAAAGAATATTGATGATTGTATAAAACTATTCTAACTTAGAAGCTAGAATATAAAGATACAATTGAATTAATTTTATTTGATAAATTATTTGATATTATAGAAATTGGTAAAAGAGGATTCAGCACTATATATTCAGCAATTTGGTTAGATGGTATATAAAAAATTGTTAGCAAGGATTATAATTATTCAAGATTACAAGAACCAAATAGTACCATTGTATTCAAGACCTTGTCTGGTTCTTTAAAAGAAGTAAGTAAAACTTATTTATTCAGTAATTATTAAATATATAATGAACTAATTCATTTAGCTTATTTAATTTATTTTTAAGAAAATAACTACAGTTAACTGGAAGTGATAATCACTGGTTACATAAATCTACAAAATTTATATAAGTAGTTTTTTATTTTTTTTTAGTCTTTTCTTTTACTAACCTTTTTTTTTCTTTACATTACATATCGTATTTTTGGGTGTCGCCATTTTGTCATTTCCAACATGGCATACTTGGTAAGTGGTCTTTTTTTTGTTTTTGTTGCCTCTTTTCTTTACTAATCATTTCTTTTATAGCATTATACATCATATCTTCAGATCATTGCAATTTCATCTTTTCGGTATTTTGGTATAACATATTTGATAAGTAGTTTTTTTTTGTTCTTGCTGCTTCTTTGTTTCTTTTTTGTTTTTGCTATCTTTGTTTCTTTTACTAACTACTTTTTTTTGATAGTGTTAACTGTTGCACCTTTGGTTGTTGTTCCTGGTGGTATTGCGTTCATAGATATTTATTGGTGTTGCTACATTTTGGAGTTGTTGTTTGCTAGATTCAGTATTTGTTGGTGATGGTGGTTTGTTGGTGATGGCATTTGTTGGTGATAGCATTTATTGATAATAGTATTCGTTAGTAATAGCATTCATTTGTGACAGCGTTCATTGGTAATGGTAGCAGCATTTGTTAGTAACGGCATTTATTGGTGATAGCAGAATTTTGGTTTTTGTAGACGCAATCTCTTTAATATTATCGTTTCATTGATGTTTTCTGGTATATATACTGTAATCGCTTGTTGGCTATTCTATTGTTTTTTGTGATCAAAGTAGTAAGTCTTCTCAATGTATATATTTATAACAAATATCATGGAGTTTATTTATAACACAATAATGTTTAGATTAGGGTTAGTGGATATGCAAGTTTAAAAGTTTAGTATCACCACCCTAAAAAATTTCTCTGACTATGTGATCTAATAAAAAAACTGTTTTATGATTAGTTTAGAGTTAGGGTCCCATCAGTAGGTTATTATTGGTTTAAAAGACTATAGTTATAGATAAAGAAAATTTTTTGTTAGTACCCAGAAGGCATTCTCATAAGCAAAATTTTAAGCTATAAGTGTTTTTGGTTGTTTTGTTTTTTTTCACTTCTTTTATATTACATATGATCTTGAAATCTGATAGCTAGCAAAATTAATTAGAGGATAATTTAACTACAGTTATGCGGGTTGGGTTAAAATGAGTGTTAGAATAAGTATTGAAATAAAGGTTAGAATAAGAATTATGTAAATTACTATAATATAATAAAATAATTGATATAATAAATATATAAAATATATATATAATATAAATTTTTATATAAATTAATTTAGATCATAAAATCAGTGATTTTCACCCCAGTGAAAATTAAAAATTCTCTATTTTTAATTTATTTAATTACTGTAATTATAAAGTTTGAAAACTATATAAAATATATCTGGTATAGTAGCAAACTTAAAATATATGAATTATTGCTATTTTTGATTTAGTTAAATCATTTAATTTTGCAGATTATTTTTTCTAAATTCTGTAAATCTTGTGAATCCTGTGAATTTCATGATCATACTATAGGTAGCTACCCTCTATTCATCGTATTCTGTGAAATTCATTTAACAATTAGTGATTATTTTTTGTTTATTAATATATTTCCTTTTTACAAGCTCTCTTTATTAGTGATATATTATAGATACATATGAATACTAAAGCAGCTAAGTAAATTTTTGAAGTAATTGTTAGTATTTATTATAAACAATATACATACCAAATCAAGGTTGGCATTGGAGCCAATAGAGCTCAAAAAATTAGTATTTGTTTGCTTCATTCAGAGCATTATTGATTCTTTTTGCAGCTCTATTAGGTTTTATTGAATTTTATTGCCAATCTCATACCAAATAGAGGTACTATATATAGTAATTAAAATTTATTATATAAAGCTTATATCATAATATTAGTATGTTTTCATCAAAGATCATAAATATAAAATTGGTGCTTGTTATAGTTGCCAAAAATATCTTTTTTGTTTTAAAGATTTAAAAATAAAAACTGTTTATGTGATTTAAAAATAAAACCATCTCGTAATAACACTTTTCAATCTAAACATAGACAAGAAGCTTATAATTAATGTTATAAAATTTCTAAAACTTGTTTAGCTCAAGTTGCTTAATTAAAAGAACAAAGCAAATTTTTTGAATATCATAGTAACTTTGATAAAAGTTTTAATTTAACATTTTGTTCAATATGTAATTCAAGATTTAATCGGGTTAAAGATGTAATTAGCTTAAATAAAGATAAAAAAATAAGTCAAGACAATATAAATAACCAAGATACAACTAACCAAAATACAATCGACCAAGATACAATTGACTAGGATATAATTGACCAGGATACAATCGACCAGGATACAGTTGACCAAGATATAATTAATCAATATATAATTGATTATAATAGTAAAATAGAAGAAACTCAATTAATGTTTGATAAGCTTTTCTTCACAACTTCTATATTATTTGAGTCTAATAATAATGATTTGCTTAGATCTGTAAGTAGTTTTTTATATTTGTTTATTATTTAATAAATTTTACAAGTTTTTAATACTTTTGCATTATTTGGACTAATTTTAATAATTTATTTAAGTTTACAAAAATAATAGAAGTAATGATAACTCATTTGACTAAAT